TTGTACATTATTTGCTGACCCAGGGTCTCGCTAATTTCTTTTTCTTATGAATAGTTTGAGCATGTTAATTGTAGGGGCTACATGACATGTTTTAGTAAGACAATATATGAAACTTAGAGCATCCCAAAGGAAAACATTGGAATAAAAAGTTACCATTAGTTGAAGACAGCTTTTTATAATGAAAATAGGCTGACTTAGGAATTGGGAGTCCTGGGCTTGAATTCTAACTTAGTCAACCTTTGACAAATCACTTCTCTGAGCCTCAATTTCCTTATCTTTGAATTGAAAAGGTTTGAACAAGATAAACTTTAAGCTGCCTTCTATCTCTAAGCCATGATTTTGTATTGTCTGTAAGTCTTTGCTGTTGAGTCAGCTGCTTTGCTTGGAGTGTTTCCTGTGTGCTAGGCACAGGATAAATGACTTCTTATATATACCCTAGGGTCAGATTTTTGGGGCTCCTCAGATCAAAGTTTACTGCTTCGATGCTGGAGGAATTAAAAAAGAACTAGGATGCTTAATGAAGAAAAGAGAATAGGCATTGGAGAGGGTATCTGAAAGGAATGAAGCTAGGCATAATAATTTAGTCTTTCAGATGTTTATGGTTATCTTTGAAATATTGTAGCTGGCAATTCCGGCAACCTTAACCTCTGACGATAAATTTTCTTAACTCTCATTTCTAGAAACACTTATTGCCAATACATCAGCTATGTAAGCATATATGCAGAGGCTGCCAAATCTTGGTTGTCCAACTTGGTGGAAGAAAAAGTTGGTGTTAAGAATCCCTTTAGGAACATTCTTTTTCCATGGTTATCCAGGTCCTTTCTGTCTAGCCATATATTGGGTGGAGGAGGCTACCAAGCTGGAGAGTAGCAGAGATGGTATGTAGGAATCATTAGATAATCATTCTCGATCTAGTTCCATTATGGGGATAGTCATTTGCCCTGTGGAATAAAACGGTAGCATTTTTTCATCCAACAAATGTTTATTGCTTATTTACCATGTGTCAGATATTTTCCTAGGATCTAGAAATTCAAACCTGAGTGGTTCCTGCTATAGTGAGATATAGACAAGCAGGTATATAATATACAAACATATGTACATAGATACAAATTTATGATAGTATTATCAGTCTTAGAGAGTTTATTTAAATAAACACATGAGCTTTTTTTTTTTTTTTTTTTTTGAAACAGAGTCTCCCTCTGTTGCCCAGGGTGGAGTGCAGTGGCGCGATCTCGGCTCTGCAACCTCTATCTCCCGAGTTCAAGCGATTCTCCTGCCTCAGCCTCCCAAGTAGCTGGGACTACAGCCACATGCAACTGTGCCCAGCTAATGTTTTATATTTTTAGTAGAGACGGGTTTCACCATGTTAGCCAGGATGGTCTCAATCTCCTGACCTCGTAATCCACCTGCCTCAGCCTCCCAAAGTGCTGGGATTATAGACATGAGCCACCACGCCCAGCTGCAACTTTTTTGTAACGTTCAAAGCACATAAATAAATTCTCCCTTTCTTGCTTCCTATTTTCATCAGGAAACATTTATTGAGTCATGTGTCAGATACATTAGAAAGAGGGCTAAAACTAGATCATGCATTTATATATCAAAAAATACTTCCAAGTAAATAAAAATTAACCCAATAATATACTCTTAAGGAGACGTGGTTTTCTGTTTGTCTGTTTGTTTGTTTGTTTGTTTGTTTGTTTGTTTGTGACAGAGTCTCACTCTATCACCCAGGCTGGAGTGCAGTGGCGTGATCTCAACTCACTGCAACCTCTACCTCCCAGGTTCAAGCAATTCTCCTGCCTGCACTTCCCAAGTAGCTGGGATTACAGGCCCGTGCCACTACGTCCAGCTTATTTTTGTATTTTTAGTAGAGACAGGTTTTTGCCATGTTGGCCAGGCTGGTCTCAAACTGCTGCCTTCAAGTGATCCACCTGCCTTGGCCTCCCAAGTGCTGGGATTACAGGCGTGAGCGACCACACCCAGCCAAGACCGTGGTATTTCTGACACATGCACAAGAAGATATGTACATACATATATACATATATGTGTATTTGTGTATATATGAAAAAAGATAAATTTGTGTGTATATTTGTGTACATAATTTATATATTTATCTTTATGTGTGTGTATATATATACACATATATACCTTATGTGTATACACATACATATATACTTTTTATATATATTTTTTAAATGTTTGTACATGCCCAAAAAGGATACTTGAACCTAGTGGGTAAATAACCAAGAGAAACTTGCATTTGTGCCTGCATATATGTATGTTTGTGAGTATGTGGATGTGTGGGAGGTAAGGAATGAAGGAAGGGAGAGAGGGAGGGAAAGAAAAAAGGGAGGCGGAAAATGAGGAAGGGGAAAAGCAGTCAGTGGTCTTAGAAGGAACCACAGTAGTGACTAGTAATTTTTACCTTAACTCCCACTGCCCCGTCTGTATTCTCTATTAAGCTCCAGTTAGTACACCATTATTCATTCCATCAACTGACGTATCATTGGAATTGACTACTCACACAAATAAAAGAAAAAAGAATAATTTCTGTTTCAAAAATACAAAACATCCACAGACATTAGAAGAAATGGTACTTATGTGCTCCAACCACGATGGTAAAGACAACTTGCTGAAAGTTCTTCCACAACAGAAAAAAAAAAAAAAATTAAATCTGAGATTTTTTTTTTTCTTCGCTGGGCAGAAATTCATTCCAAGAAGTACCAGCCTGTCTCATTTCAAAATGCTCTCCTTACCAAGGAAGCGGAAGTGGTCATATTCCTTCCCACCAAACTATGGATGAATTATAATTATCCTACCTCTTGTGGGACAGTGAAGCAGTAAACATCTGCTATACTGAATCAAAAACTCCACAAATGAAACTATACCAAGTGAATCATACCTGGACTCAGATTAAAGGATCTGTATTGTGTTTACCTTTTTCTTTATTTTCTTGCAATCTAAAATATGGATTTGTCAACTGTGGCCCCAGATTCTAACTGAAAGGGAATAATATATGGATTCCATTTGCCGATTCTTGTTTAACATTGAAAATCACAGCTTTAAAGCACATTGACAGTAATATTTGTAACAATTTTTCTGCTTGGTTTATTTATTCCCTCATCATTTTCTTTTTCTTTAAAAAGATGATACAAGTTAGAAAATTTAGACATGAGGTCCTTTAGTTTTAGTTTCAATAACAAAGGAGCAGAAAGTAGTATTTAAACTTTATTTCCAAAAGACACCAGCTTCACAACTAGTGTTATCGTAATTTTATGTATCATGATCTATGTGGTAGTACTACCCTGTTCACCTGGAATAAGGAAAGGAAAATGGTCAATTCTAAGGTTAAGCTATGAAAACATATATAACAGTCTACTTGCTTTAAAAAATGTTGTGTCTTTTTATCTATTAGAGAGCAGAAAGACAAACTCGAATTATGGATTCAGCTCAATATGCAGAATTCTGTGAAAGTCGACAACTAAGTTTCTGTAAGTAACCATTTAACTTTGCTTAATTATATGCATAAGAGATTTGTCTTATAGATGTACTGAAGTATGACAGGATCTGTTTCTTAGAAATTGGTGGATTTAATATATGTGTATTTGTAACTGCTATAGAAACAACCTCTACATTGTGGGGAGCCTATAAAAGATTTTCCTACCTTCTTCTGCTTTGCAATTAATAACATTAAGAGGTCTTAAAGGGTGCTGGTAATATACAGAGTGCTATGTTAATTATTTACAGTACTTTTAATCATAAAAATTCAATTTTTCTTATTATTTCCATTTTAATTTCTAGTTTCCTAGTCATATTTACACTAGTATTTTTGATTGCATTTGATCCATAACAGACTCTGATAGTAGTCATGACATTTAAAGGCCCCCAATATTAATTATGGATACCAACCTTTTCCTTTATATATACTCATATTACCACAAAGGAACATATCAGTGGTCTCTTCCATTTTTGTCTAACCACCTACTGTGGTATGTATTCAGTGTTAGCCAGATTTATTAGTACATGCTCTAGTAACACTAGTAACCTTGTGGTAAAATTAGTACTTTCACATCACTGCACATCAGCTTATTAAAAGTGTATAATGACTCATAATAGTGAGCTCGATTGTGTAGCAAAACATCCTTACAGCAAAGTTTCAGTTATGACTAAGGCTCTCAGGGTAAAGGTCAAAGAAGAAAGTGTGATGAAAAGTCCAGTTAAAAATATGACAAAGTAGCACATGACCATGGTCTGAGGGATTATAGAAACAATGGTGTCTTCAAATGAAAAGCTATTATGTGGTCACAATAACAGCATATTTGATTTGGAAAAAGAAAGGGAGAGCTTCATTTATAGATTATAAAGTGCAAATAAATGACACATTTCATAGTATCCCATGTAAATGTCAGTAAAATATAGGAAAACATGTTTTGGAAGATTTTTTTTTTTCTGACTAAATATACTTTCCAATTTGACTAACAACTTGGCATCATACATCTGTGAAGCATTAAGTAAATGGCACTTCAGATCATGGCAATTTCAGCAAATGAAAGGTTTTGTATTGTAATTTTTAGGTTTAAAAATGGCATTCAAGTCTTTATAAATATCAACCTCCAGTTTATAAAGTAACATTTAGTGCAATGGAACTATTTTTTTAAATTATATTTTAAATTTAATTCACTTAAAGGAACAGACATACTACTTTCACACTAAAACTCATAGTCTTAAAGTATCCTAGTTTGCCTTCTCTTTGAAAATCAGATTTTCAGTTACTTCATGTTTTTTTGTTTGTTTGTTTTTGTTTGTTTTGTTCTTGGTTTTTTTGTTTGTTTTTTGAGATGGAATCTCACTGTGTTGCCCAGTCTGGAGTGCGGTGGTGCGATCTCGGCTCACTGCAGCCTCCTCCTTCTGGGTTCAAGTGATTCTCCTTGCCTCAGTCTCCCAAGTAGCTGGGACTACAGACGTGCACCACCACGCCCATTTAATTTTTGTATTTTTAATAGAGACGGGATTTCACTATGTTGGCCAGGCTGGTCTTGAACTCCTGACCTCAGGTGAGCCACCATACCCGGCCCATGTTTTATTTTTAACTCAATAATAAACTATAGTAGATTAAAAATTAATATTTTCCCTTCCTATATAAAATAACTATAGTATAAACAGTATATTGTGTTTAATTTTCTTGTCTTTAGAGTGGAAGGATTTGGTCATTTAAAACTACTTATATATGGTACCCATAGCTGCTTTATTATGAAACCTTGGTGGGGAAATCTGTTTTATATGACAAAATACTGTGGTTGAGAATGCTTTAATCCATGTGGGTCAGCAAATTCGGAAGCTATTCCTGCACTCGTCAAAGTGTTATACTCTTTTCATTCTTCTCCTTCTAACAAATTACCAAGATACAGGAATTGTGGTCCTGCCATATGTATCTTCTTAAGTATTTGATCATAGCCATCCCTGGAATTACTGGTATATTTTAGAATAATGAGTCTGTAACTTTATAGGCTGAGAGTAATCTGTAGCATGAGCACACTAATCTAATTCACAATTCAGTCTTTTGTTTTTATATGTATATAAGTCAGAGAGTTATTTCTCTTAAAGTCTTTTAAAATCTGATATTAATATTGACACACAAAGCTCATAATTATAATTAAAGAATAATTATAATAATTTAAATTATAATTTATAATTTATAATTAAAATGTATAATTGGTAAATTATTTTCCAGTCCTTTACTTTCAACTTTTTATTTTATATTTGGTTTTCTCTCAATTTTCTTTGTAATCAGAGAGGCTCTGTGTATTTTAATTGATTAATTTATATGGATTTAATTACTGATACTATATATGCTGTCTTATCTTGTGTTTTAAATTTACTGTGCTTTTTAATTTGCTTTTTCTCCTCCTTTTTTATGTTGTATTAGATCGATTGGGTTTTCTTCATTTCTTTTTCCTCTACTAGTTTGTAAGTCCTATATTCTCTTTGTACTATTTCAGTTGCTATCTTTTTTTGATATACATCCATGACTTAAAGTTTTTAAAATTGGTAAGTATTTGGCTGGGCATGGTGGCTCACGCCTGTAATCCTAGCACTTTGGGAGGCCAAGGCAGGTGGATCACCTAAGGTCAGGAGTTTGAGACCAGCCTGACCAACATGGTGAAACCCTGTCTCTACTAAAAATACAAAAATACAAAAAAAAAAAAAAAAAAAAAAAAAAAAAAACTAGCCAGGTGTGGTGGTGGACGCCTATAATCCCAGCTACTTGGGAGGCTGAGGCAGGAGAGTCACTAGAACCTGGGAGGCAGAGGTTGCAGTGAGCCAAGATTGCGCCATTGCACTGTCAGCCTGGGGGACAGAGCGAGACTCTGTCTCAAAAAAAAAAAAAAAAAAAAAAAAGCAGTTATAAGTATTTAAACTTTGCTTCTTGGCCTAATGTCATTTTTTTCCTACAGCTCTGTACATGCTTAAAACACCGTTTTTTATCTTAAATGGCTTTATTTTGCCCTCATACTTAAATGATTGTTTAGTTGGGTAGGAAATGGTAAGCTGATCGTTACTTGTTAAAACATGATTCCCTTGTCTTTTGGCCCCTGTTGTTGGTAGAAGTTTGCTGTCAGTCTGCTTGTTATGTATTTTTCCTGTGGAAGAAACTAAGAGAATGAAAACATTGACTCCAGGTCCCCCCTTATATGGGGAAATGAGCACACTGGCCAAAGTAGTTGCCCATAAATATGTATAAAGGAAAGGAATAAGGAACTCCTGCTAGGGAAGGTTCCAGGGAAAACCATGCCCTCTCAAGAAGGCTATTTTGAATTAGGTTGAAATTGCAGAGTAGCTTCTTCTGAGTGGACTAAGCATTCCAGAGGACCCTAAGGAAAGGACTGGGAATGGAAAGACTGTTGGGAAGGGATGGGATAGAAATCACCAAATAGTATGTAGGCATGAGAGAATGGAATATTGTGAGAAACTTAAATTTTATTAGTGCTCATTGACAAGAAAGATAAAAAGTATGTGAGATTAACCCTAAATTTCCACATGAAATTATCATGTAAAGTTGTTTTTTAAGTTCAGCACAGCACAGGCTGAAAATCCAGGTAGTATTACAAAGCTAATAATCCTAGGAACTTTTGACCGTTGCTCAGGATTCTATTTAAATTGTTAGTCAATTTCCAGGTTATCCTTTCTCTTGATACGTTGGGAAGAGGGGCGAAGGAGAAGGAACTTGTTTATTCTCAGGCCCCTCTCACCTCTTGATGAAAGCAAACTGTCTTAACTAGAGGTATCTGTGCCTCCAGCAATACCTTGGAAGCGTCAGGCTCTAAAGCCATGCTTCTCCAGGTGACAGGGAAGGAATTAGCTGTCAAGGAATCTCCACCTCTTGGTGGAATGGCAATAACCCAAGTGGTTTTTGGGACTTCTATGCATGTCTTTTGATGAACAGAAAAGTTTGGACCCTACTCTTTTGTTTAAAAAATACTTTATTCATTCATTAATTCATTTCTTCTGGAAATATTTCTTGTGAGTCTGCTAATGCCAGGCAGTATTCTAGGTGCTAGGGATACAGTTGGAGATATATGGTCCTTGTCCCTGCATTCTCAATGGTTACAATCTAGCAAGGAAGCTAATTCTGTTGCTTATGTGGATAGATCCAACTGAATATTAATAGTGATCCTTTCCTTCACTTTTAAAATCAAATGTTTAGAGCACAGTTCCAAAATATCTGTTTCTGTCCTAAAGATCTGTCAAGGACATAAGTGAATAATGTACATCTCATTGATCTTGCCAAATTGCTGCCTGTTAACTTTAACTTCAGAAGTATTCCACAGATGTTAAACAAGTGTTTGTGAGCTATTGCAGCATACTAGTTAGATGGAATGTTGCATGTCAGAAAGTATTTGGAAGATTTGTTACTTTGGGGAGATAGCTTTAAGGAGGATTATCATAATTCTGCCATATTTGACAGCTTTGGGTATATGCTTCGATAGCAGGACTTCATGTTTTCTATGATTTATTTAAAAGAGAACTCTTCTGTATGTGGAATCCTTGAAGATTCTATATAGAAGGATCAAAATATCGTGCTTTGAGTTACTGTTAAGTGTTTTATAGACCTGTGGGGCCAGATTAATCAAAAGAATAATCAGTGGATTATAAAGAAAATCTTATAGATTTCATAAAATCTTCACTATCAATCTTTCCCTCTAGGTTACTAGTTAAATGAATAATGTCTAATGAAGCGCCTATATCAAATTAGACTCTGCTTAGCACTGTGGCAGTGTAGAGATATTTAACTAAAGGTTACATACGTGCTTGGTTCTGTATATGCTTGGTACTATTACACATGCAGAGACATAAGGCATGGTCTTCTCCCACAAAAATTTGTAATATGGCTTAAGAAATAAGCATTTGTGAAAGAATGTCTGATGGTATCAGTGTTCAATAAATGGCTAGAGTGGGGAAGTATACCTTTGGCCTGTATGATCAAGATTCATGGGAATGAAGAAGAGTGATGGGAGAGCATCCCCTGGAAGGAAAAGAGTAGGAGTAGACACACAGAGAAGAAGACTCAAGGCCAGGTGATGGTTTAATAGGGAAATATTACAAAGGCTGCTTGGAATCAGTCTCGATGGTTTTGAAAGTCAGGATTAAGAATTTAGACATCTTCATAATCAGAAAAAATGTAACCACAGGCTTAGATTAGACCAGATGTCAGTTTATTTTATTTAACTTTAAATTTACAACACCTTTGAGCCATTCTAGTAATACACATTTTTTTGGGGGGGGCGGGGTGGGGACAGAGTTTCGCTCTTGGGCAGTGGCGCCATCTCGGCGCTCTGCAACCTCCGCCTTCCGGTTTCAAGCGATTCTCCTGACTCAGCCTCATGAGTAGCTGGGACTACAGACACCTGCCACCATGCCCAGCTAATTTTTTGTATTTTTAGTAGAGATGGGGTTTCACCATGTTGGCCAGGATGGTCTCGATCTCTTGACCTCGTGATCCGCCCGCCTCGGCCGCCCAAAGTGCTGGGATTACAGGCGTGAGCTACTGCACCCGGCCTAGATACTTTTTTTAAACAGATTTATTTCAGTAGGTTTTTTGGGGGGAACTGGTGGTGTTTAGTTACATGAATCTTTAGTAGTGATTTCTGAGATTTTGGTGCACCCATCACCCGAGCAGTGTGTACACTGTACCCAATGTGCAGTCTTTTATCCCTCACCCCCCCCCACCCCTTTCCCCTGAGTCCCCAAATACCATTGTATCATTCTTATGCCTTTGCGTTCTCATAGCTTAGCTCCCACTTGTGAGAACAGACGATGTTTGGGTTGCCATGTGGCGGAGGCAGGGTTAGGCATGTCTGAGCTCAGACTCTTCTTGGGCAGGACTTGCTGCGGCTGCTGTGGGGGATGAGGGTGTGGCTTCTAGACCAAGGGAGTTATGTCCCCAGGGGCATTATGGCTGCCTCTTTTGCCCCACGCAGGTCACCAGGGAAGTGGGGGAAAGCCAGCAGCCACAGGCCTCACCAAGCTCCCATGGAGCCCACAGAGTGAAAGCCCGGTCTCACTCCCACCATGCCCCCTTCCTGTAACAGCACCGAGTTTATTTCCAGGCAGCTGGTGAGCAAGGCTGAGAACTTTCCCCAGGCTACTGGCTTCCTAGGTGAGAAAGCAAGCCTACTCACAGTTCCTCTGCGTCCCACAGAGCCTGCAGTGGTGATCCACCTCCTTCAAGGGATCTGTGGCTCTAGCCTTTTCTGGTATATTCCTGCAGTAGTTCTTGGAGCAAAAGTTCACGGTGTGGGTCTCCATATGCTGCTCTATCCATCCAAGTGAGAGCTGCAAGTTAATCCTGCCTCCTATGTGCCATTTTCCTCTGAGACAATAGACAATATTTTTGAAAAGTATTAGCAATAATTTCTGTTTCTTTTTTCATCACAGGTTATTTATTGCAGGATTTTCTTTCTGTATGAGTAAATTAAGGTTACATCAGACAACATCTTCTGACTGTTGTAACATAAGCTGTAGCCAATGGTAAATCTGACAGTGTGAGAAGTATTAAACATTAAATGGTTTAATATACTATGTCATATAGCATAGGTATAAAATAAAAAATCCAAATACATAAGAGAGTTGTTGAAAACAACCATTGTGTTGCCTTATAATTGAAAGTTAAAACTTGAATTTCTTGGGGCCAGAATATCTAGATATTAATAAAAGCTGGAACACATTGCATTTTATGTGCATTATTTTTTGTGTACAATTCTGAGTATACATATTTTTCATTTTGTGATAGTAATGTGCAGTATTAAAACACTTTAAAAATTAAAATTTCTACACTTGTTTTTTTTACATGACCAGCCAAAAAAGCTTCCAAATTTCGAGACTGGTTGGACTGCAGCAGTATGGAGATAAAACCCAATGTTGTCGCAATGGAAATCTTAGCATATTTAGCGTATGAAACTGTGGCACAGGTAAGAATTCTAATCTGTCATATCAGGCCACACTGGCTGGTTTTTCCTTATCTCTGCCCATGATCAATTCTTCTTCTGCCTGCTGCTCTACCAGGAATAACAGCCATGAATTCTCTCCAGTGACATTTACATCATTTACTAAAATTTAGTTCAGTTATGTGTATCTGCATCCTCAATTCAAGTGGGTGTTAGGATAAGAAAGACAGTTTCTTGCACCTTTATCCTAATGAGAAATGGAATCCCTGCATACTTTTTCTTGACATTGAACTCTGAGTCCACATCTGCCTTGTTTAGAGTTTATTTTTGAACTTTGAAAAACTCCTTTCTACGTATGTGAGATCTTAAGAGTACTTACCAAATTCTGGGTCTGGAATCTCGCCCTCTAAAAGACTTTCTCAAGATGTGGTCTTTTGACCACAAGCATCAGCATCTCCTTGGTTCTTGTTTAAAATGCAAATTCTGGCCAGGCACGGTGGCTCATGCCTGTAATCCCAACACTTTGGGAGGCCGAGGCAGGTAGATCACCTGAGGTCAGGAGTTCAAGACCAGCCGGGCCAACATGGTGAAACCACATCCTGCTAATAACACACAAAAAAAGTTAGCCAGGCATGGTGGCAGGCGCCTATAGTCCCAGCTACTCAGGGAGGCTGAGGCAGGAGAATCATTTGAACCTAGGAGGCGGACGTTGCAGTGAGCTGAGGTCGTGCCATTGCACTCCAGCCTGGGCAACAAGAGCGAAACTCCATTTCAAAAATGAAATAAAATAAATAAAGCAAATTCCTAGACTGTATGCTTAAAACAGACCTACTGAATTAGAATCTCTGGACTTAAAGCCCAGAAATCTGCACTAGTGATTATGAAATAAATTTTGAGAACTACTCTCCTAAAAGGTCAGAATATATCATGACTAGGTCCATTCACCAGTCAGTTAAAGTGTGTGCTCATGTCTACAATATAGATTTTTAGGCAAACAGGATTATCAGTAACATTCACAATGTATTGCTTTTAGGTTTGCCACTTCAGTGGCATTCATGATTATTACTAGCTATGTGACTTTATTTCATTCTTCTGGTCTTCTAGTTAGTGGATCTGGCTCTGCTTGTGAGGCAAGACATGGTAACTAAGGCAGGGGACCCCTTCAGTCATGCCATTTCTGCAACCTTCATTCAGTATCACAACTCTGCTGAGGTAAGTACAAAAAAAAATCTGCCTTTAACACATTTGTGAATTTTGTCACATATCTGGTATTTACATTAGTGTTTCTTTTAAAAAGATTATGCAGGAATGTATAGCCTTCAGTCAAAGAATCTTAATACATTAGACATTCAAATAAGTATTTAATTGAGCACCTACTATGTGCCAGGCCCTGATAGTCCATGTAAGACAATGATTTTTTTCACCTGTTTCTTACTTCACTTAGCTTTCCTAGCCCTTCAATGAAAGGGATGGTTGCAAGGCATTTCTTATTTTTATGGGAGATGAAAAACTGGTTTAAGTAATGTTGGAAAAGTCATTTATTTCTTTGTGCCTCAAAAGATAAGAGTGTTATCATTAATATTCACATAATAATTCCTGGCATTTATTGATAACTTTCCATTTCAATTATTGATTCATCTCTAAACATGATTTAAAGAAGCTTGTCTTCATTCATCTTGAGTTTTTAGATTGCTCCTACTATGTGAAAATTATGTTCTTTTCTGATCTGCTTTTACTATGGGAACTAAAGTTTTCTTGCCAATTTTAAGGCTCTGTATAATAACTGTGCACCACTTTTAGTATATAGAATATCCTCTGTAAACAGCATCTACCTTAAAACCAGAAATGTATTGCAGTGTGTTGAATATATTTGCCAATATTTGACCCTTTTCACTAACAAAAATAGCAGTTTCACATAATTCAATCGAATATCCATAGATAAGACAGTGAGAAGGTTAAGTTCGTATCTACATGTAGAGTTGTGAAGTAAGTTTTGGATCAAGTTGGTTGAAATGTATAACCTGAAAATGGTTAAGCTCTGTATATACCTTAATTACACATTTCTACTCCTTGTTAATATCTGTAGGCAAGTATAGTGGTTCAGATCATCTCTAAGAAGTAGTTGTCATCTTTTTTAGGTCACAGACCCCTTTGAGAATCTGATGAAAACTATAAATCCTTTTTCTAAGCACATTCACAAATTTTGCCTACAGTTTCAGGCTGTTTAGAGACATTCTGAAGCCATTCTGTGGATCCAAGGAATCTGTGAACCCTATGGGCCATAGGTTTAAGTTTCTCTGCTCTAGGATACTTAGAAAATATGTTAAGATATATGCCTGTATAGCATCTTATTACAAACAAAAGGACAATTTAACATTTTCTTATGCTGCTTGGAAAATCAAATTGGCTTGGAAACTAAATAGAAATTAAAATGTTTATACCCATTAAAAATCCATTTTTTTCTTAGAAAAGGTCATACATCATTATCAGTCAACTTACAAAAGTCCCTAAAGCTTACTTAGTTGATTAATCACTATTTGTTTTCTTTATGTTACAAACCCAAATTATGATGTCAAAGAACACCCTTTAAAATGTCTTTGATGCATGTTCACTTTATGAATATGTGTATAAGTATGCTTTCCATTAACATCAGACAAATTTGTTATAACATTTCTAATTGAGGAAATTTACTGTGAACACAACAAGCCTAGTTTTCTTTTAACATTCAAGTGATTGCTTGCATGCCTAGGAAAACTCTTTATTTCCCCTTTTTTCTTGGTTCTCCAGGGTGGCCAAGCTGCCCTGGGCAACTGCTCAGCAACCACAGCCGCTGTTCCCAGCTACCCAGCAGTTGAGAGGAATATCCTATATGTACTGGATTTCCTGGGCTCTCTGGGAGGTGGGAGCATGAGTGTCAGAGAGCCTTCTGACAAAATATGTTAGTATAAGCCTCAAACTTTTTTCTGGCTGGCAGACACCCCCCTCCTCTCCTGTGACTGATACAATATGAATATTCAGAGACTGGAAGTCTTCCTTCCTGCCCTTTATCACCTGACAAAATCAGCAGGCAACATTAAGGGCCTGTACATCAAATACTATACCAAATTGAGTCCAAAGTGGGGCTCTGGAGACTGAGATGATCTGTGTTCAGGGAGACAGGACATTTTGTAAAACAAATAAGCAAATAATTGAACAAACAAACAGTTTAAGATGGCATATACTAGTCTCCAAATGAGTGACTCAGACAGAAAGTACAGAAGTTTAAAAGAAAACAAAACAAAAATCCTCTCGTTGCAGTCAAAGACTTTAGAGAGAAAGCTGAAGTTAAAGGAAAAATAGGACTTTGATAAGGTAGAAGTTAGGATAATACTCTAGAACTCAAAGAAAGCATAAGTACCATTTTACAAGGGGAAAAACCCAACACTGTTTAAAATATTCAAGAATTAAGGTTCATTAAAGAGGAATAGTAGGCATTTGGATTAGAAAATTAAGGCTCAGATTGTATAGAGTCTTAGACTGCTAGAGTTAACAAGGAATGGATGGTTGATGGTTTCTTGGCTGAAGGGTGAGGAGTTCAAACGGGTGTTTTAAGATCCAAATGGTAGTGCCATGTACAGTGGATTAGAATTAGAAATGCAAGATGTGGGGTTAATACACAGTGCATTTTATTTTAAGGGGTATCATTCTTGAGCACTAACCATATAAGGAACTGGGCTGATTAAGATTGGGTTCTTACTAGATTAGCAAGTTTAATATTAATTCAAGTTAACTTTCTAGAGTTTCTAGATTTTCTGTGTTGCCCAGGCTGGAGTGCAGCAGCTGTTCACAGGCATGATCATAGTGCACTGCGGCCTTGATCTCCTGACCTCAAGCCATCTCTCTGCCTCATCCTCCCAAGTAGCTGGGACTACAGGCACACCACTATGCTCAGCTGTTTTTCAAAATACATTATGAAGAATTGCAGGCCAGTAGTGCAGTTGGTATGATTGATAATGAGGAAAATATAGATTAATAATACAATACATTTAATCGGGCGGAGCAAGATGGCCGAATAGGAACAGCTCCAGTCTCCAACTCCCAGCGCCAGCGACACAGAAGACCGGTGATTTCTGCATTTTCAACTGAGGTACTGGGTTCATCTCACTGGGGAGTGCCAGAGGATCGGTGCTGGTCAGCTGCTGCAGCCCGACCAGCGACCAGCGAGAGCTGAAGCAGGGCGAGGCATTGCCTCACCTGGGAAGCGCAAGGGGGAAGGGAATCCCTTTTCCTAGCCAGGGGAACTGAGACACACAACACCTGGAAAATCGGGTAACTCCCACCCCAATACTGCGCTTTAAGCAAACAGGCACACCAGGAGATCATATCCCACACCTGGCCGGGAGGGTCCCACACCCACGGAGCCTCCCTCATTGCTAGCACAGCAGTCTGTGATCTACCAGCAAGGCAGCAGCGAGGCTGGGGGAGGGGCGCCCGCCATTGCTGAGGTTTAAGTAAGTAAACAAAGCTGCTGGGAAGCTCGAACTGGGTGGAGCTCACAGCAGCTCAAGGAAACCTGCCTGTCTCTGTAGACTCCACCTCTGGGGACAGGGCACAGTAAACAATAACAAACACAGCAGAAAGCTCTGCAGACGCAATTGACTCTGTCTGACAGCTTTGAAGAAAGCAGTGGATCTCCCAACACGGAGGTTGAGATCTGAGAAGGGACAGACTCCCTCCTCAAGTGGGTCCCTGACCCCTGAGTAGCCTAACTGGGAGACATCCCCCACTAGGGGCAGTCTGACACCCCACACCTCACAGGGTGGAGTACACCCCTGAGAGGAAGCTTCCAAAGCAAGAATCAGACAGGTACACTCGCTGTTCAGCAATATTCTATCTTCTGCAGCCTCTGCTGCTGATACCCAGGCAAACAGGGTCTGGAGTGGACCTCAAGCAATCTCCAACAGACCTACAGCTGAGGGTCCTGACTGTTAGAAGGAAAACTATCAAACAGGAAGGACACCTACACCAAAACCCCATCAGTACATCACCATCATCAAAGACCAGAGGCAGATAAAACCACAAAGATGGGGAAAAAGCAGGGCAGAAAAGCTGGAAATTCAAAAAATAAGAGCGCATCTCCCCCGGCAAAGGAGCGCAGCTCATCGCCAGCAACGGATCAAAGCTGGACGGAGAATGACTTCGACGAGATGAGAGAAGAAGGCTTCAGTCCATCAAATTTCTCAGAGCTAAAGGAGGAATTACGTACCCAGCGCAAAGAAACTAAAAATCTTGAAAAAAAAGTGGAAGAATTGATGGCTAGAGTAATTAATGCAGAGAAGGTCATAAACGAAATGAAAGAGACGAAAACCATGACACGAGAAATACGTGACAAATGCACAAGCTTCAGTAACCGACTCGATCAACTGGAAGAAAGAATGTCAGCGATTGAGGATCAAATGAATGAAATGAAGCGAGAAGAGAAACCAAAAGAAAAAAGAAGAAAAAGAAATGAACAAAGCCTGCAAGAAGTATGGGATTATGTAAAAAGACCAAATCTACGTCTGATTGGGGTGCCTGAAAGTGACGGGGAAAATGGAACCAAGTTGGAAAACACTCTTCAGGATATCATCCAGGAGAACTTCCCCAACCTAGTAGGGCAGGCCAACATTCAAATCCAGGAAATACAGAGAACGCCACAAAGATACTCCTCGAGAAGAGCAACTCCAAGACACATAATTGCCAGATTCACCAAAGTTGAAATGAAGGAAAAAATCTTAAGGGCAGCCAGAGAGAAAGGTCGGGTTACCCACAAAGGGAAGCCCATCAGACTAACAGCAGATCTCTCGGCAGAAACTCTACAAGCCAGAAGAGAGTGGGGGCCAATATTCAACATTCTTAAAGAAAAGAATTTTAAACCCAGAATTTTATATCCAGCCAAACTAAGTTTCATAAGTGAAGGAGAAATAAAATCCTTTACAGATAAGCAAATGCTTAGAGATTTTGTCACCACCAGGCCTGCCTTACAAGAGACCCTGAAGGAAGCACTAAACATGGAAAGGAACAACCGGTACCAGCCATTGCAAAAACATGCCAAAATGTAAAGACCATCAAGGCTAGGAAGAAACTGCATCAACTAACGAGCAAAATAACCAGTTAATATCATAATGGCAGGATCAAGTTCACACATAACAATCTTAACCTTAAATGTAAATGGACTAAATGCTCCAATTAAAAGACACAGACTGGCAAACTGGATAAAGAGTCAAGACCCATCAGTCTGCTGTATTCAGGAGACCCATCTCACACGCAGAGACATACATAGGCTCAAAATAAAGGGATGGAGGAAGATTTACCAAGCAAATGGAGAACAAAAAAAAGCGGGGGTTGCAATACTAGTCTCTGATAAAACAGACTTTAAACCATCAAAGA